TGGAGTAATAAGTGCGAAATTTGACACGCTTTTTGGATGTTTTACGTTGTGTTCGTTGAAACAATGGTGAGATCCCTACAGGGGAGGGAGAAAAACTATGAAGGGGATGGTGACCTCGAAAATAATTAAAACAGGGTTCATTTTGCATTTTAAATAATTTCATGATGAAGCACTACTTTCATAGAGCAGTCACCCCCAGGGAATAACAATAATCTCTAGGGTGCACGGTCGATACTCATATTCATTTTTTGATTAAATAGCGTATACGAATTTGAAATACTAGCCTACTGTACCGGGAAGTCGTGTTTCGAAGACAGCCACGGGCGTCTAGCCCACCCTTTCCAACTAACTCTATGGTCGTTTAGCGCGCTGGCACGGAGACGGAGACCAGACACTCTAACAACCAAGCTTTCTCGCATATGCACAACTTCAATTACTTACCGTAAGGCTACATAGGCCTCACTAGATCGACCCGATACAATTTGGCGTAAGCAGCAGGAAATCTTTGTGGTTCAAAAAACCGTCAAAATACCTGGTTAGCGTCAAGTCCATTGAGTAAGCCCATATGGCCCTGGAAGAACCTTGGTCATGGATAGATGACAACGCATAAGGTCATATTCACGTTCTTTAGCCCTTTGATTAGAGGGTTGATCAATCGCATCAGGCGTAAACTGTCATGCCTCATAGTTCGAGGACAAACGGGTTAAATAATAATCAATAAAACCCCCTATGAGCAGCTAATGCTTTGGATATACGCATGTTTCAGATAATCCGGCCAAAAACGTGTGCGTGTTAAGTTTCACACAAGCGCGGCTAAATTAAACGATAGAGGTACAACAAACAGAATCAACCAAGCAAATGAGGTTTTTGCTAACTGTAGAAAGGGACTGCGTAGGAAAGTCGGTGCCTGTTGAGACTCGTTCTTCGACATAGATCGTTCAATGTGTAACCTTTAAAAATAGCCATTTTCCGATGAGTGACCGCTATGATGAGAGGTCAGTCTAGGTGAGGAGCCTGTCAGTTGATCTTCTCTGTATGTGTTTACGTCTGGAAGCACACACAAATGTGCCAGTTGACAGTGTGAGTCAAGATTTTCTCTCCGCATGGATCGATAATCTGTCTTGTTTCGTTGAAACCTGCACAAAACGCCTTCGTTGCGCTATTTCTCGATGATCTTGCGGTCAGCATCATCCCACAGATAAGACCTGTACATAATATTCGGAATTCTCCGGTGCCAGAGACGCAAAAACGTCTGATCGCCTGATCTCGCGCACGTGGTGAAGACCGTTCGATCATGGATAAACGGCTTCATGTTAGAGGTAACTACAAGGCAACAGGCTCATTTTGCCCCAGCATTTTCTCAACGCCTCGACCATGCAGCTTCACGATGGGTACCCGCTTGAGTTAACCAGCTGACAGTTGTGTAAGGAGGCCGATGCATGTACGCACATCTAGTATTCAGTATGGTCTAAGTAGAGATAAGATTCTTAGTATATTATTAGTAAGTCTCATTTTCACAGTCGAACATGTGGGCGTCTGGTAGTGAGGAAGCCACTGAACAAACTGCTATTCAGGGGTAGGAAAAACAGCACTGCTTGAGTTCATTGATCGCATTACTTTTCCGGATCGAATAGAAAAGTTGGATAGCTAAATCAACCTTTGTGTTCCCTCTAGGGGATTAAAAACAAACTTACCTGTTCAAGATCCAGTTCAGTAATGAGGCCTGCCAGCGGTAAACAAGCCGGACTCTCGTCCATCAGCAGAAATAAACCAGTGGAAACCGTAAACTATGCCTGAATACAAATGCTACCAGTAACACTTGTATTGATCTATGTAAGCTCATTGGTAGGCTATTTACACAATGAATGTGCTCTGGTAGACAGCCACGAAATCGGCGCATTTGAACCTGTCGGTTTGACCTGGGGTGACAGATCCAGTAGTCTCTGATGTTTTGACCGCAAAATTTGTCGCACGGCTGGTATTCGCATCCCGTAACGGTCAACCGCATGCAGCCAGATCAGATCATGTTTGAAAAGTGATCAAAACCTGGGGCACTCGTGGCTGCCCGCTTTGCAAATAGATGGCGTATTCGGGTGAGTTTGACAAAAAAAGGTGTCCAGACTCTAGATCACGTTTACTGCAAGTCGGGTGATATCGGATAAACTGCGGGAGCACGTGGTCTTCACAACACGTCGACAGTCGGTACACGGAAAATTATTCATATGATACATCTTCACTGCAGTAAAATGGGAACAACGCCTCGATGCAGTTAGTGAACATCCCATTAAGGCACAACACTTTGAGCCTGCGACAACTGACGCCGACAACACACAGGGAGGATACATTTTTGTCAATACACTTATTCCAATTCCATTCACTTAACGACAAAAAAACCGTTCAGCTGTCTAGCCGCCATGACAACCGAAGCAGGTACAAGGGCTGAGATACTGCCAAATCGTTCGAGCCCATACAGGAGCAGTCGAAAAGCCGGGGTTGGGTTCGAATCAAGAACTTCCGGTTAGTAAGTTCGCGCCTTCAATACTGAGCTGTTTCGTGGCCTTGACACCAAGTGGAATAAGTCCGGCGAGTGATAGAGCGTAACCAACGGTAAGAAGTGAAGGAGCGGATACCTGGTGTACGAACCATCGGCTGGGCGAACAAACTGACAATGTGGCACAAAATGGAAAACCTTCGGGTCTGAACCCTCACCTAGGCTCGTCAAGCGTGAAACCGTGGTATCATATTAGTTTCTTTAGATTATCATTGAACTATTCACTACGGTGTCAGCAAGCCCACTCTGCAGGTGGTGGCAAGGCGATAGTGAACAGATTGAGGCAACTTTCTCGATTATTTCAACCATGGATGTATTGAGTATCTTTTCTATGTGTATTTGGGCCTTTGGTACGTGTTTCGGGTCCACGCATAAACAATGAACGAGGATGTCAATCAATGTCCAATCAATGGTCCAGTTGGAATGTGCAGGACCTCCATCCCAACTACGTTTGGGAGCCACCATTATGAAACACTGCCTTCTTCCTAATAAAACCCATCTTAATGTAAAATCTGCATCGAATCTTGTAGACAAGTCTGTGGGGAGGAATTTGTCTTCACGGTTACCAAAAGAATGGCACTCAATCAGTACACATAAAGGAAGTTTGACCGGACTGGTGGTCGTTATAGACAGGGTTTACTGTAGTATACCGGCGCCTTTCTATGCAATCAACCCGCCCTGTAAACCTGAAGCTGTAGACTGCGTATAAACCACTGTAGTCAAGTAGAAGGTCAATCATTGCCGTCTCCCCGACTGTGTACCACGGGAAAGAATATACATTGGTGGTTCGCAAAGCCTGTAAACAAGGTTCAGGCGAGGGTCCACTATCATTTACATACCCGAGCAGACCCAGCCTGCACCAGTTAGGAAACATATGCGTATCCCTTTAGCTGCAATGCAGTACGTTGGGTTGTCGTTTCTAATACACTTTTCGACTGGCGACAGGCCCCAACTGTACTTCTTGTGGATGGTATGGAGCCGAATGGGGTGGTGATTCAACAAACTCAATTATTGGGATCAAATTGATTCGCCCTATTGGCCAAGCTAAACGCTAAATTCGTAAACAACCCCGCTCATGAGTTCAATGCAACTGGACCGACAAAGCGTTCAGCTGTAGCACCCTTTCGGTGCCTAGCTGTCATGCCACCCGAAGGTTGCACGACGGCTGGGATACTGCCATGTTGCCCAAGCCTAGACATAACGGTCAACCGCATGCAGCCAGATCAGATCATGTTTGAAAAGTGATCAAAACCTGGGGCACTCGTGGCTGCCCGCTTTGCAAATAGATGGCGTATTCGGGTGAGTTTGACAAAAAAAGGTATCCGGACTCTAGATCACGTTTACTGCAAGTCGGGTGATATCGGATAAACTGCGGGAGCACGTGGTCTTCACAACACGTCGACAGTCGGTACACGGAAAATTATTCATATGATACATCTTCACTGCAGTAAAATGGGAACAACGCCTCGATGCAGTTAGTGAACATCCCATTAAGGCACAACACTTTGAGCCTGCGACAACTGACGCCGACAACACACAGGGAGGATACATTTTTGTCAATACACTTATTCCAATTCCATTCACTTAACGACAAAAAAACCGTTCAGCTGTCTAGCCGCCATGACAACCGAAGCAGGTACAAGGGCTGAGATACTGCCAAATCGTTCGAGCCCATACAGGAGCAGTCGAAAAGCCGGGGTTGGGTTCGAATCAAGAACTTCCGGTTAGTAAGTTCGCGCCTTCAATACTGAGCTGTTTCGTGGCCTTGACACCAAGTGGAATAAGTCCGGCGAGTGATAGAGCGTAACCAACGGTAAGAAGTGAAGGAGCGGATACCTGGTGTACGAACCATCGGCTGGGCGAACAAACTGACAATGTGTTACTGGCAAATAAGAGATCCCTAAAAACCGCTTACTTTCAAGTTCGAGCTCTTTGTTTAAACAGTGAGACACCGAGTCTCAAGTCTTCTAAAACATGCATAGGCGACGTAAGATCGAGGTCTAGACGAAAGTTGTGTTCACACGTGAATCAGCATACCGTGAGTAGGTACTAAGAGAAAAATCTACCGAACAAACTGTGCACCGAAGTGAGACTCTCCGTCCCTGTTTCCGACCATTTTCTGTCTGTCCATATCGACCCAACTAACACGAATGCCTCACCAGCAGCCTAATGATCACAAGGCGCATCAGTATTCACGTGATTCTTCACACGACGGTAGTAGCGCATCGGCCAACCAGTGAGAGAAACATGATAGGCGGACAAAGCAAGTCCAGAATCGGGATGAGACAACCGCCAGCGCTACGTCCCGGCAGACAGCTGTTTAACGTGTGCCAACACACATAACAGCCAGTAACCGTAGGTAAAGTATAAATTAAACCGTACTCCCCGAAAATGAACTTCATCTAGTCACAATTGCCCTTAGCAGAACAGACTTTGTGCTTTACGATTCAAAAGGTGCTAAGTGAGGATCGCGAGTCATGAGGGCAGTTTAGCTACAGCATAAAGGTCGAAACAGAAAGTGGTCTGAACAATGACCCAGCTACACCTGCGAAAACCAGAACTGCAAAAATATGGGCGGCAGTTTTATGTCGCAATGGTGGGTATATATAGGGGGGAGAGTGCGTGGAGACGGTGAAACTAAGGCGACAGAGCTACAGAAACAAGCAGCGACATGGCAAGCAGAGTAGGGATTTGGCAATGACCAACATAGTCATGTGGCATCTGTACAAGGCATATTATTTAGCCAGGTTAAATACAACTCCCGGCAAACAAACCGGAGCGAGAAAAGATAGAGGATCACTGTTCGAATAACTAGGCGAATACAGAAAGAAATACAGATGGAGTGTACTGGAGCTGAGAATGTCCCATAATCGGACAAGTTAGTGACCACAGAAGTTACACAACCAGGAATCGATCAAACTGGTGACAATAAACTGCAGATATTATGAGAACTGATGGCGTGAGATGTTGTGTCAGACGACAGATAATCAAAACAAAAACAAGAATCACCTGTGAATCACAGGTCCACTCAACTTCAAACAGAATGTTTAATCACACACGGTAAATCAAAGCGCCCGCCGCCTCCCGTGTTGTTGGTAATTTAGGTGTACTGAATCACTGACGGTTTCCGCATACACAAGAACAGATGAGTGAAAGAGTCCCTGTAAGACATGGAAAGATCACAAGGTCGACTGCTCGTTCATGATGACGTACAGCAATATCTGGAGATGGTAAGCACAATCAACGTCAACCATTCGATTGATGTGATTCCTCGTCAAGGTCATCTGTAGATGAGTGCGATGTGGTGTTGCACGTTGACCAGTCAACACTGGCCTTTGAAATCGGGCTTAAACAAAACTATACATGCATCAGCACAAAAAAGTCCGCGTATGTTTTTGACAGCAGCTTACAGATGACATCGGTAATCCAGAGTATAAAACCGAACGAACTCTGTTCGGTCACGTCTGCTGAGGATGGGTAGTGATCAGACCATCCGACGGCATAGCAAAAGATGAGTGGATCATAAGAAACTAAGTAAAACGATGGTAGCTTTGGACAAGAAAGTCAACCTCGCTCAGAAACGATGATAAGTACTGAAAGACAAAAAGTAGCAGTAGCATAAACGTGGCCCGCAGGAAAGAGAGAGAGGAGGGTTACTAGGAGGAGATAAAACCATAACAAGCAAAGAGCAGAAGAATGAGGGGATGGGCGGCTGGTCGGTGGCGATCCGGGAACATGACCACACGCTTACTTGATTGTCTGTCACCAACAACGGATGAACTATTTCCTGCAACAAAGGTCCTTCTGTGAGAATTGATTAGTGTGAATTAGAAGAGAAGACACTTGGTACTAAATGTTCCGCTTCGATCTGATAAAGTAGGAAATTGGAATAAATGTGTACAACATGGCCGAGAGGTCGACAAGCGCCGGCGGTTAACACGGAGCAGTATCTCTCTAATAGTCATCTTAATTAAACGGGAGGGGGGAGGCGTTGGAGTGGAGGGTGAATGGAACGTGGTGAATCGACAGTAGTTCAGGAGAGAAAATTTTCAAGAATGAATGGCGGGAGGGGTGTTGAAAGCAAAATGGTAACTGTCCGACAATACTGTACCTGATATTTGTTATCAGTATCAAGTACTGTCAAAGTTCCATATCCTTGGTCTCGTCGTCTGAATAATCGGACATAGAACTTTCCTCTTCTGAGGAGTTGTGCTCGGCTCCTCCGTTCTCTTCAGCTTTGAGAACTTCCTCAGTGGCGAAACGCTGTACGTATTCTGCGAAGCAAATAAAATACGAAATAAATTCAAATGAAATCGACAAAGAAAAATGATGAAGCTGAATGATACAGTGAGGAAACCCGACCAGGATTATTCAAATCAAATCGCTCCGCTGCGGTGGTACTTCTGTGTACGGCTGCCAAAAACCCGGAGGAAATACGGAAACTGCGCTAGTGTCAGTTTGCTTATGCATTTGTAGTCGAAAAGTCAGGGGTGGGATTCTAACTTTCTAACCTTCAGTACCTCGCGCCGTAAACACCTGTGATAATGGAGAGCACGTCGAGATGTGACAAACAGTCGAGTGAAAGGCAGAACTACAACGAAATAAATGAGAAATTGCTCCCATCTGAAGGGTTTCAACGCTTACTTCGAATAGTGACCACTAAACTTGCACGGATCACTAACTGTACGGTATTTATCAAGATAAGCCAGTTCCGGCAGCAAGTACTCCCTCTCTGAACATGCAGAGAGAGCAGGCAGAGTAAATAACCGAGTGTATGTCGACTGAAAGCCAGCACTAGCAAACTCAGCTGCGTCGGTCATTGCCGTCTACCCGGATGGGGACCCCGGGGACGGGACATATCGATTGTTAGAGACAGTCAGACATGGCCCATTCACGCTCGTGCATCCAAGCAATCGCCCTCAATGCATAGCACTCCTCCCAATCTCCCCACTGGAAGGTCCACTGTTAACCCTGTATTTATGTATCAATTACATCAGCTGGCGCCTCAAATGCGCAGCCATTTATCCCACCACCCCAAATACTCAGTGAACGGAACTGTGGCGGCTAGAGCCCCTGTACGACAAGCACGTGGTTTTTGCAGCGGATGATGATGTCAAGTGAACCAAGGAAGGTCTCACTCGAATGAGACTGTTTTCATGACAAAACGAACGGAACTGGGCTAGAGCCCCTGTACGACAAGCACGTGGTTTTTGCAGCGGATGATGATGTCAAGTGAACCAAGGAAGGTCTCACTCGATCGAAACTGTTTTCATGACAAAACGTTTGGGATATTAGTGCAAACTGTCACCATATATATATATATATATATATATATATATATATATAT